TTCTTTATCACTTACCTAATTAAAACTTTGACTAACTTTCAATGAATCACTCCTAAAAACTGCAGAATCATGGAGAAGGAGGAAGGAGCAGAGTTAAGAACTACACTCTTTTTTTCCCCATCTTTATGTATTAAACATTCTAAAATCTGTAATTTTTTTACTTCAGTGATGTACTAAACATTATACTACTTTTTACATGATTTTTTTATAAATCTTGGTTTACTCAGGGATATTTGGAAGCCTTTCTGTCAGTGATAAGATTAATGCCTTTTTGGAGAGTAGGACAAACAAAGAAATGTTTCTCTGTTTCTGGATTGCTGCCAGGGTGGGGGACACAGGTTTGAGGGAATTCTTGGGAGCCTGGAGCTTCTCCTGAGCAGGGAGGAGCTGTCTCCGTGTGTCAGCCTGGGGACAAACTCCATCCTTGCCCTCTTTCCTGCCCTCTGACCCACAGGTACCTCGCACGGGGTGATCCATCAGCCCGAACCCCAGCGGGAGGAGGGAGGGGAGGGTGGGAGGAGGAAAAAGGGTTCCCGCAGATTTGGGAGCAGCGCTGGACCGGGTGTAGCAGGTTTGAAGTGCCCAGCTCCTGGCAGCCAATGTAAACTCTTGGATTTGAGCTGGAGCAATTCCTGGTTCTCATTCTCAGGCTTCGGATCCAGCTCTGACCCACCCACAGGTTCAGTCTGGACGGAGCGGAGAGCCAGCAGGAACCTCATCCACCAGCTCCGGCAGCCCAGGGCAGGAGGAGGCTGAAGCAGAGCTCTGGTACCCCTTCAAAAGCCAGAAACCAAAGAGAAATTCCCGGGTTTAGGTTCTAAAGGATGCTGTTCACAGCTTGATCTCACTTTTCTATGGTCAAAACTACTGTCAATTCTCAAAAATGCCCAATTATTGGCCAGGAATAAAAACTCTCACCAGCCTCCAACAGTCTGAAATTCCTTAGCTGTTTCTCTTTTTTTCTTCAATTTCACATAAATTTCACTTAAATATCACCCAGCACAGCACTGACAGCCCACGAGCTGCTCATCGAGGCTGAGATGAGATTTTTTTCCCCCTCCAAAAAAAGGCAGGAACCTCTGTGTGGAGTTCAGAGCCCAAATGTGCCCCTGTGGAAATGCAAAGAGAAAGATGGTGTTGGGGGGCTTTCTTCTGTCACCTGTGCTGGGGAAATAATATTTATTAGATATAATACTAATATATTAATAAAAACATAAAAATATTTTATAGAAATATAATATACATAAATAGAAAACATTTTCTAAAATATACAATATATATTATGTACTATATTTTTATAATATTGTATATTGTATAATCTTATTATATTTTATGATATATTATATAATAGTATATAATATAATATATAATAGTATATTATAAGTATATAATAATACATTATTTAATAGTATGATATATTTTTATTATATATTATGTTATATATTATATATAATAATATATATAGCAAGAGGATATAATATATATAATATATAATATATAATATATAATATATAATATATAATACATGATATAGAATATAGAATATAGATTATATAATATATAATATATAATATATAATATATAATATATAATATATAATATATAATATATAATATATAATATATAATATATAGTATATAGTATATAAGATATAAGATAGAATATAGAATATAGAATATAGAATATAGAACATAGAATATAGAATATAGAATATAGAATATATATTAGCAAAACTGAGACACGGAAGCATTAATCCCCATGGGGAGATGACTCCTGGTAACTTATCCCAACCAGCTGAAGAACAGAGACTGGAAGTGCAAGGTTCACTTTTAATCAGGAGGGTCATTCAGTGTTAGAGCAACTCCTCTTTTCCCCCAAGGAGAGCCCCAAAAGGTTGTTCTGGTGCATTTTGGGGCTGGGGGCTGCGTTTCCCAGCCAGGAGATGCCCCCAGCCCGAGTGCTGGCACGGGGCAGGTGTCCCAGGCAGAGGGAGAAGTTCTGCCCAGAGCTGTCCCTGCATCAATGAGGGTGCTGGGAGCATTTGGAAGGGGAGCTGGAGCCCGGCTGCCATCACTGGACTCATGACTCATTTTAAAACCAGCCATAAAAGCAATTTTCCACAGAGTGATCAAAGCTTCCCCGGCTTATCACCGCCCCGATTCCAGTACTGAAACCGTGGCGCTCGCAGACTGCCCGGGGAGTAATTGCAGGACTTAATTGAGGAAGGTCATTAGGGGCAGGCAAAGATAGGGGAGCTGGAGCCTCTCACCCAGTGTGAGTCGCTTTCGTGGCAGTGATGATGATGATGGACAGGCCAGGTTCAGCTGGATACCTGGAAAAGGCTCCTCAGCCAGAGGGTGGTGGGGCACTGATCAGGGGTGGGCACACAGCTCCAGGGGTGTTTGGACAATGCTCTCTCAGGCACAGGGTGCGATTGCTGGGGGGTCTCTGCCAGCATCAGGAGCTGCACTGATGATCCTCGGGGTGTCTTCCAGATTGTCCTGATTGGGCACTCGTGGTTTGGTTTTTTCTCCCCTTGTACTGAAGATTGATGAGAGGGAGGCAGTTTTCTCTTGTTCAGATTTGGTTGTTTATACTTTTATCTACATTACATGGATACAGGCTACAAGGAGCTACGTGCACTAAGATAGAAAGGTGCAAAATGGCTAACAAAAAACTTTATCAAGGTCTTTTATATGTCTGTTTACCCAATTAACAAATGCCAAGTTAATTATTTTTCTTAGTGACCCAATGACCCAACACCTGTGTGCTGCACTGCGGCATTCTCTACCCAATCACGGATTATTACCCAAAAACCCACAGAAGAGGAAGATGGAGAAGGACAAGAGACAACACCCTAAATCCTCCATCTTGTCTTCTGTCCTTAAACCAGTTTAAACCTTAAACTTTAACTTTCTCACCCAGTGACTCAAGAAAACTCTCTGGTTTACACACTTATATTTTCAGTTTCTCTACTTAACTCTCACAGCTGTCTCCACGGTGCTATGTGAAATGCAGTGCTTTCTTGGGCGTCAGAGTGAGGCATCACAGATATCCTCCATCTCTCACCCCAGCACCAGATCAGGAGATCCAATTCTATGATTTTATGGACCCCAGCAGGAAAACTGGGGCCTCACCTGGCACCTGGGCTGTTGGGCGGGATGTCCAAGGAGCGGCGAGCACGCAGGGATTTCAGACCAAGGTCTCAGGGGTCCTTCCTGCCTTTGCAGAATGCCTGGAAAGGTCTTCCACAGCTCTGGGGCATGGTTCCAGCAGCACCAAGAGAGGAAGAGGTGCTCAGTGTAGGTAGGGAGTGGTACAGAGGCTGCTTTGCCTCCAGCCCCATGAAGAGAAGGGAAGGATAACTTGCCTGCTCATTCCTCTCCCCTCCAGCCTCTTCCCTTCCCCTGCTCCATCCTGACACAGGGGTGACCTCTTCAGTCCTCCATGAATGGATCTTGGGGAGCCCTTCCACCAGCCAGGGGCTGTTCCACACCACTGATATCAACATTCAGCTGTGTATCTGCCCCGGAGCAATAAAACTCTCATCATGCAAAGAGGGGGAAAAACATTCCCGCTGTCCTTTGTATCTGCTCCTGCTTATTGCAGCCTTATCAGCACATCCAGGCGGCCTTCGGGGCACGGGAGTCACGCAATGGCTGCAGCAAACGGGGCCTGTGGACCCACGGCGTCACTTGTGGGGCCAGGTCTGCCCCACGGGGACAGCGCGGCACCGATGAGTCCCGGGCAGTCCCGCTGCTCTTGTGAGTCACCACGTTCACCGAGATGAACCTCCAGTGGATGGTCCCACCTCCCCCTGCAGCAGGGGAATGCTGGCTTTGGGATGTCCCTTGTGGCTTTGGGTCTCTGGTGCTCTGGTCCTTGCCGTAGTTGATGGAGCTGTTATTTGGCTGGTGAGCCTCGTGGGCTGCCCTAAAGCATCCTTCCACTTTTTTCCCTCTGGTAGCCTGCAGCAGGTCTGGACCTTCCCTTCCGGCGCTTCTCCTACAACATTTGGGTTATGGCATTAGGCAGGAAGGACAAAGCTGGTGTGACACCGACAGCTGCTCGTGCTGGCTCAAAGAATTCGGGTGGCTCTCTGAGGCTGCGTCACCTCGGTGCTCCACCACAAAGTGGCGACTGAGCCTGGACACACAGAGTCACTCCTTTTCCCCCAGGCTGGTTCAGCGGGTCTGGGCAAGCCAGGATCTCCCCGAAGTCTTGGGCAATCGGCTTCCCCGTTCTCTTCCCCACCACGCTTTCATCTGTGCCTCTTCTGGGAAGCTTTTGTGCAACGCCTGATGAGTGATTGGCATTTGGACATGGCAGGAGCTCTGGCTGGAGCCCCACTGCTCGGGGTCTGGGGCTGTGGGGGCAGAATTCTCCCCTGGGAACGGGTGCAGGAGCAGAGCGTACCTCAGCGGGGGTTGTGCTTGTCCCCGTGTCACCGCTGCCAGGCGGTGGCGTTGGCTGGGGCGGCTTTGCGTGCGAGCTGGGGAAAAGGAGGCATCTGGCTCTGCTGGCATGGGCTGACTGGCAGCCAATGTAAACTCTTGGATTTGAGCTGGAGCAATTCCTGGTTCTCATTCTCTTCCTGCTGTGAAAACACCTTTGTTCCAGCCCAGAACAGCAGCAGCTCGGCTTTCTCAGCAGCCAGGGCTGGAGGTGTCCTTCCCTGTGTCCTTCCTCGTGTCCTTCCCTGTGTCCTTCCCTGTGTCCTTCAGGGCCACCAGTGACCATGGTGAAGGAGGTGGATGAAGGCTCAAGTTGCACCAGGGGAAGTTTGGATTATGGGGAAATTTCTCCACCGTAAAAGTGGTCATTGGTGGAGTTAGTGATGGGATGAGGGTTAGTGGTGGCCTTGGTGATATTAAAGCCTTTTCCAACCTAAACAATTCTGTAATTTGGAGATCATGATGGGGGCTGTGGGGTTACGGCCTGGCTTGGCTGTCCTGCATCTATCAGAGAGCGATTCCGAAAGGATACAGCCCAAGACTGGATGTGGTGGAATAGACAGCTTTTAATGGAATACCCAACACTAGAAACACCAGGAAACAAAGCAGGCAACGATTGCTACAGAACAAAGCAGATAAAACAAGAGCCCAAATGGTTTCAGTTTATCCCATCACCCCACAGAGTTCTTCCAGAGCCAGCCCTGCTGCAAGGACACTCTGGAGGTGTCGCCGCTCAGCTCCTGTCCTTCACGGGGAAGCGCTGCCTGACCTGGAAGTGCTCACACCTCTTGTGCTTCAGGGACAGTCCGTAGAGAGGGGTCATGTCCACCCTGCTGCCCTTGCAGACGCTGAACTCCAGCTGCTGGAGCAGCGTGGCCAGGAAGAGGAACACCTGCCACCGGGCAATGTTCTCTCCGATGCACCTCCTCTTCCCCAGGCCAAACACCAACACCTGCTCCGCCTCCTCCTTGTTCAATTTGGTCCCATCAGCACTGAGGAAACGCTCGGGCCTGAAGGTTTCTGGGTCCTTCCAAAGCTTCCTGGAAGGGAGAACATCAGAGATGTTGAGATGCTTTCTCCTGGTCATGGGTGTCAGTGGGACATTGGAAGGTGGGAACTGTCAGGAGGAACATCCTTGATGGTTTTGCACTACAGGAGGGGACCTGTTTGTCACCACAGGAGGGGACCTGTTTGTCACTACAGGAGGGGACCTGTTTGCCACCACAGGAGGGGACCTGTTTGCCACCACAGGAGGGGACCTGTTTGCCACCACAGGAGGGTTTGTGCCTCACAAGACACTTACTCATCATGGTTCGTTTGCCACTGGTTGATGAACACGCAGCGACCCTTTGGGATGTAGTAGCCGTTCAACACCGTGTCCTTGGTGGTGCTGGGGAGAGAAAAGATGGAGAGTTGGGCAAGCCCAAAGGTTTTTCTGCATCCTCAGGGGACTGCCAGGCTGCTCCTGAAGGCTGTGTCGGTTCTGTGGGGGCAGTTGTGTCCTCCACGAACCGTAAGATGGTGCCTCAAGGCCGCCTCATCCCCAGAGCAGCTCTGCCAGCCCTCCCGTACCTGTGTGGGATGGTGAAGGGCAGGAAGGAGGAATGCCTGAACATCTCCAGGATAAAAGCTTCCGTGTAGGGCAGCGTGCCCCGGTCCGACAGCCGCGGCCGCCTCTCCCGCCCAATGGTCCGGTCTGGGGGAGGTGGAGAGCGAGAAGGGGGTCAGGGCTGAGCAGAGAGGGCTGGCCCCAGAGGAATGTGGTTTGGGGACTCACCGAGCTCTTCCTGGATCTTCCTCTGGATTTCGGGGTACGTCACAAGGTACATGAGGCTCCAGGACAGGGCTGTGGTCACGGTGTCGAAGCCTGGGCAGAGAGGACAGGGTGTGTGGGTGAGCTCAGCATGACACCCACCCTGGCCTGCTGGCTGACCATCACGCTCTGGGCTGCCTGAGGAGGCAGGGGACATCCTGGACACGTAGCAAGGCTTGGGGCTTTCTTCTGCCATAAAAAAACTTTGCTAAAATAACCTGCTTTCCCAACCTGTCCCGCTCCTGGCTTGTGTCAGGTTTGTACAACTTCTTGGGAATTGGGGGAATTTCTACAGAAAGATGAGTCAGCCCACAGACATCTCCCACAGCCAGGAAAAACCACCCCGGCTTGTGAGGCTCTGCTGAGCTGTAACCCCTGCCCTTCACTTTTCCAGAGCTGATATCCCAGCCCGGTCTCTAGAGGTATCCCTGGAAGGTCCAGCGAGCAGGAGAGCGAGTGCTTAGACCCAAACCAGCTGGTGTTGGACAAGGGTGAGACAGCAGGAGCTGGAGAAAATCTGAGAGCGTCTGCCACAGCTGAGGGAAGGTGGGAGAGGATACCCGCTCCAAAGAGGTCGTTGACGAGGTTGACGATCTTCTCCTTGGGGACCTGCGTGGCTGTGCTTGCTGCCAGTTTTCTGTCCAGGCACTGCTCGATGAGGGAGTCCGTGATGTCCCGGATGTTGTTCTGAGGTGAGGAGGAGACAAGGTCATGGAGCAGGGCTGGCAGAGGGTTGGGTGCTCCTGGGGGAGCCCGGGGTCACGCCAGCTCTGGGGAGCATCACCCCTCAGCTCCTGTGGTCCCGATGGAAACAAGGAGAGGGCTCTCCCAGGAACCCAGGCACAGAGCAGATGTTCAGCCACCAGACTGGTCACATCTCACAGGGAATCGAGGAGATGCTGAGAGGCTCATGAAGGGCAGGTTCAGGTGGGACATCAGGAAAAGGTTCCTCCCCCAGAGGGTGGTGGGGCTCTGACCAGGCTCCCCAGGGAACAGGCACAGCCCCAAAGTTGCCAGAGCTCCAGGGGAGTTTGGAGAACGCTCTGAGGCACAGGGTGGGATCTCTGGGGTGTGTGTGCAGGGCCAGGAGTGGGACTGGATGATCCATGCGAGAGCCAACTGAGGATATTCCATGATTCCATGAGATTCTAGGAATCTGTGAGAAGGAGGACTGGGGTGGGACAATGGCCATTGCTGCTTGGCTGCCAGAACAAAAGCACCGTGCTGATAGAGCGGGGAGGAGAGCAGCTGAGCGTCCTGCAAGCTCTTACCTCATCGTAGCTCTCATAGTGCTCCTTGACCCTCTTCTGCAGAAAGCTGAGTAAGTACCTGTTGAAATCTAGAAACATTTTCATGCTGCGGCTGGGGAGGTACCGGAGCACGGGGATGAAGTCGGCTGGGTTGCCGGCAGCAGCCACATTGGTGAACTTCTCGGTAGAATTCACCAGGCTGAGCAGCTCCTGGTCCTCGTGCTCGTAGCGCTTGCCGAAGCACATGGCACAGATGACGTTGGTCACCGACACCACCAGGTACCGGTAGGGCTCAAACCTCTTCTCCTCCTCCATCAGCTGCAGGAATTTGGTGACCAGGTACTCGGCCTCCTTGGAAACGTGCTCCTCCAGCAGGCAGCTGCAGGACGACGTGGGGCTGGGGGCGATGGAGAAGCTCTTCAGGGCGCTCTGGGCCAGCTTCCTGCGCGCTTTCCACACCTCCCCGGAGTCGGGGCTGAACGTCAGGCTCTGCCCGTCCGTGACAAAGCGGAAGCTGTAGAGGTCGGGGCGCCCCATGAAGTCCTCTCCTTGCTTGACCAGGGCTTGCCTGATGGTGTCGAGCCCGCCGAGCACCAGCACGGGCCTGGTGCCGATGCGCACCTCCATCACATCCCCGTAGCGCCGGCTCAGCCGCGTCAGCGCCAGGTGCGTGTCCTTGCGCAGCTCCAGCACGTTCCCCAGGATGGGATAGCCCCGCGGGCCCGGCGGCCTCCGCAGCCCCTCGGCCACGGCCTGCTGCTGCTGCT